GTACCAATAAATAGTAATGAAGTTTTTTTTTTAATTACAAAACCGAGAATAGAGATAGAGGTGAAAAGAAATTTGGATGTTAGGCTAGTATTGAATATAACCATAAATATAAGGTCAAATAAGGAAGTTTTCGGCCCATTGGGCCTAATTGGTGTTCACAGCCCAATATGATAAAAGAATAGGTTTTCGGCCCATTATAATCAAAGGAGATGGTCTTCGGCCCAATAAGGCCCATGATGAGTCTTATGGTCCAAAATTAATTACTTTGTGAATATGGCTCCAATTAGGGCCCAAATGAGGATTTGTAGCCCAAAAGAATCAAGTTGTGAGTTTATTAGCCCATTAGGCCCAATAAAAGATTCTTGGCCCGATAATATGTTTGAATCAGGAAGTTAGAGTTACAACCCAAAGTTGAGTGTATGAAATGCATCGAATTAGGTTTAAAGCTTCACGAGTGATTTTTGATTCGAATTGTTGTTGTTGAGTGAATATCTTGCATTGTATCAACATTAGGGTTATAATGTATGCTACAAGTTGAATATACATGGACAAAATTTCCTAACCCTGACATGCTAGTTGTGATATCATCCCCCGTTAGAGGGAATTTTATCCTGTAATTCTTTGAAAGGTAGTCTTAAGAGCTAGAGAAAAGGTGAGGGTACTTTAGCATTATTTGATCTTCACGTTCCCATGTGAATTCCGGTCCGCGCTTTGCATTCCATCGAACCTTCTCAATCGGAATGTGACTTTGTTTCGTACGGTTCACCTATCTGTCAATGATTTCGATTGGTTCTTCGATGAACAAGAGATTCCCATTCACCTCGATCTCATCCAGGGGAACAATGAGGGTTTCATCTGATAAGCACTTTTTCAGTTTCGACACGTGGTGTACGTTACTAAGCTCCGCAAGTAGCTTCAACTTATAAGCCAACAGACCAATCCGAGCAAGAATCCCGAATGGTCCAATGTATCGTAGATTTAGTTTTTCCCGCTTCCCAAATCAGATCATCCTTTTCCAAGGAGAGACATTCCATAGCACTCGATCTGTGAATTTCGGTCCGCGCTTTGCATTGCATCGAACCTTCTCAATCGGAATGTGACTTTGTTTTGTACGCTTCACCTATGTGTCAATGATTTCGATTGGTTCTTCGATGAACAGGAGATTCCCATTCACCTCGATCTCATCCAGGGGAACAATGAGGGTTTCATCTGATAAGCACTTTTTCAGTTTCGACACGTGGAACACGTGGTGTACGTTACTAAGCTCCGTAAGTAGCTTCAACTTATAAGCTAACAGACCGATCCGAGTAAGAATCCCGAATGGTCCAATGTATCGTAGATTTAGTTTTTCCCGCTTCCCAAATTAGATCATCCTTTTCCAAGGAGAGACATTCCATAGCACTCGATCTATGACTTAAAATTCTAGAGGCTTTCGTCATTTGTCAGCATAGCTCTTTTGTCGGTCTCTTGATGCTTAGAGTCGTGCCTTGATTTGAACTATTTTTCTACGACATTTCCTGAATGATCTCAGGTCCTGTAAGACTGTTGTTTGGTGTTTGTCCTCTTGCCAACTGAGTGTCTCCCACCTCAACCCAGCAAAGAGGTGATATGCATTAGCGGCCATACAAAGCCTCAAGAGGAGCAACGTTAATGATTGTGTGATAGTTGTTATTGTATTAGAACTCGATTAAGGGCAAGTGGGTATCCCATACCTTTCCAAAATCAATCACATAGGCTCAGAGCATATCTTCTAGCATTTGAATGGTTCGCTCACTTTGGCTGTCAGTCTGGGGGTCGTAAGTAGTGCTCATGTCTAGTTGTGTTCCCAATGCTTTCTGGGGTGACTACCAAAATCTAGAAGTAAATCTACTCTCTTGATCATAGATAATAGATACCGAAACCCTATGTAATCTCACCACTTCTTTTATTTAGATTCGCGTTAGCTTCTCCATTTTATATGACTCTTTCATTGATAGGAAATGGGCAGATTTGGTTAACCGATTGACAATCACCTAGATAGCGTCCAATATGTTCGCTGTCTTAGGTTATTTGGTTATGAAGTCTATGGTAATCCTTTCCCATTTCCACTCGAATATTACTGGCTACTGTAACAATCCCGAGGGCTTTTGATATTCCACTTTCACTTTGGCACAAGTAAGACACTTTCCCACATAAGTGGCAATCTCTGCTTTCATGTTCGGCCACCAATAATGATATTTAATGTCCACGTACATCTTATCAGAACTTGGATCGATGGAGTATCATGTTTTGTGCACTTCGTTCATGACCACATCCCTGAATCCTCCAAATTTTGGGACCCAGATACGTTCCGTGAAGTAGTAAGCTCCATCGTTTTTTACTTCGAGATTCTTATCCATTCCACGCAGTGTTTCATTCGCGGCATTCTCCAGCTTTAATGCCTCTAATTGATCTTCCTTGATTTGTGAAGTTAGGTGAGAGTGGATGGTCATTGATAATGTTTTCACCTGGCAACCCTAGTATTCCTTCCTGCTCAGGGCATCGACCACCACTTTAGCCTTGCATGGGTGGTACTTGATATCACATTCATAATCATTTAGCAGCTGGACCAAGCTTTGATGCCTCATGTTTATCTCTTTTTGATTCAGAATGTGTTGGAGGCTTTTGTGGTCCATGAAGATGGTGCACTTTGTACCATAAAGGTAATGCCTCCAAATTTTTAGGGCGAAGGCCACAACTCCCAGCTCGAGATCATGGGTAGTATAGTTTACTTCGTGGGTTTTCAATTGTCTGGATGTGTATGCTATTACTTTTCCACGTTGCATCAGGACACAACCTAACCCTTGATTTGAAGCGTCACAATACCCTACAAAATCATATGTTCCCTCTGGCAGAGACAGTACAGGAGCACTACAGAGGGCTCACTTTAGGGTTTGAAAAACAACTTCCTGTTTGACAGTCTTGTTAAAAGGTATGCCTTTTTGGGTTAGAGTGGTGAGGGGCTTGGCTATCTTGGAGAAGTTCTGAATAAACCTTTTGTATTAGCCTGCAAGGCCCAAGAATTGTCGGATCTCCGTTAACTTTTTCGGAGTCCCTCAGCCTTCAATAGCTTTGATCTTGGAAGGATCCACATGAATTCCTTCCTCACTGACTACATGTCCCGAGAAATTCACTGTGAATCCAAAACTCTCATTTGGAGAGTTTTGCATATAGTCTTTTAGCTCTAAGAGTTACCAAAATCTGCCGTAGATGTTGACCATGCTCCTCCTTACTTCGAGAGTATATGAGTATGTCATCAATGAACACGATTAGAAAATTATCCAGGAATGGGAGGCAGACTCGATTCATGAGGTCCAAAAATGTTGCAGGAGCATTTTTTATACCGAAAGGCATAACAACGAATTTGTAATGGCCATATCGGGTTCGAAAAACAATTTTGGGGATATCTTCTTCCCGGACTCGTAGCTGATGATAACCGGACCTTTCATCTATTTTAGAAAAATAACTGGCTCCTTGAAGCTGGTCGAATAGATCATCAATCCGAGGGAGTGGGTATCGATTTTTGATGGTGAGTTTGTTCAACTCCTGATCATCGATGCACATTCTGAAGGATTCGTCCTTCTTCTTGACAAACAAGACCGAGGATCCCCAGATTGAGAAGCTTGGCTGGATGAATCCATTGTCTAAGAGTTTGCTTAATTGACTTGATAACTCCTGCATTTCGGTGGGAGCTAACTTGTAGGGTGATTTGGAAATTGTTGTGGCTCCCGGTATTAGGTCAATTTGAAATTCGACCTGTCTTTCTGGTGGTATTCCCGGAAGGTCTTTAGGAAATACGTCCAGAAAGTCACATGCCATTGGGATATCTTTGATGTTTATTTCCTCTTTTGTTTTATCCACAACGTGGTCGAGGAAGGCATAATTTTTCTAATGCAGACGTTTTTGTGCCTTGATGCACGAGATGAGACGAAGATTGGTGCCACGCTTATCGCCGTAGATTACTAGGGTTTTGTGGTTGGGGGAGGTGAAGGCGAACGACCTTCTTATGGGACATAATGTTGGCATGGTAGGGGCTTAATCAATCCATGCCTATGATCACATCAAAACTTCTAATGTCTACTAGCATCAAGTTGATTGGGAATGAATGATTATTTAATGTGAGAGTGCACCCGATGTATATATCTTTGGTTGTTTCAGTTTTCCCATTTTCCATCTCCACCGTGAAGGCT